TTGATAATGAAGATTCTCTTTGTAAAGGTTTAATGAAGACCTCTAGAGCTTGTCTGAAGACTGACTCCCACTGAACACAGTTTGTTGTATTAACAATAAAGGGTGTTCAGGAACCACATATATTTCTAATACTCTCCCTAGAAAACTTAAACCCTTCGGTATCTTTACACTGAAATAAATTGGACACACAAACTCTGTATGTAATAGGGTATTACATTTAAATTTACCCTCTTTTTTTCAAACAAAATAATTTAGTTTTGCAAACAATTTTAAGAGTGCTGGGGTAAAAAGACGTTCTCTATCCATTCACCCTTGTGTGGAAGGAAGAGAAGAAGGGTGAGATTTGGGAGATGACTCTAAATTCCAGATCTGCCTCATTACCCACCATGGCGGGGTAATAGAGGCTGGGTGATAGAGGCTGGGTCACCCCAAGTCATCTTCAGCTCCACCATTTTACAATGTCTCAGCCCAACGACTAAGACTTTTTATTTGGTTTTTTTAAGTGACAAATAACGATTGACTGTGTTTGTGGGGTATAACAGATGTATGCGTATACACTGGAGAATGAGCAAACTGGGTTAATTAACATTTCTATTGCTTTGGGGAAAAATGTAATGATGACTCCGGAACTCTCTAGGTGAGCTACCTGGTTGTCATAGTGATTGTAGAATTATAGATTTGCAAATTAAATAAAATTGAGGATCATTATCTGCAAACTGCCATTTCCCCAACACCCAGCACAGAGGGTGTTCCAGAAAGTTAACATAGCCACTCAGGAGCTCTTCAGACCCTGTAGGGTCAATAGCTGCCTCCTTACTACAGAGGCCAGATATTCCAGAATCTTCCTTAGTCTTTACGTCCAGCTCTCCTCCCAGAAAATCTTGCCTCACTGGTTTGGGGATTAGGAAATCTGTAGTCCAAAGGTTATTTTTAAAAGTGAGATTGAATTAGAATCATATTTCATTAATAGAAACTTATCTCAGAAAATCATTTCTTGTTTAATTATAGTACCCCTTCCACATGGAGAATGCTCACTATTTTAAAGGCAAGAACAATTTATAGTACTTTAGCTTTTCCATTTTTTTCCCTGACTCTGTTAGTAGGCATTTTTTTTTTCATCCTGAGTAGCTTCACTAATGAGTGGGATGGACCAGAAAGCCACTGAAGTCACAGTCTTCCAGTGATGCCTTGGTGGTGGTCTGGTCCATGACTTGAGCACCAAGGTCTCTTGTGACTGTCCACAACAAGGGCTTAAACTGTAAGATCAGGCTTTTGACATTACCAGTTGGAAGGCCCTAGGCATATTTTCTTTCTTTTGTCTTTTGATTTTTCACCTTTTAAGAAAAGTACAAATGTGGGCAGGGATGGGGCATATACAGATAACATACAAATATTATAATCATAATCCAACGACATAATGTTAACAGATCCCACCATTTAAAAATATCTCCTCAAAACAATTGGATTAGAAATCATTGAAGGACTCGAGTAGACATTTCTCCAAAGACAGTATATCAAGGACCAGTGAGCACATGAAAATTCACTCAACATCACTAATCACTAAGAAAATGGAAATCAAAGCACAATGAAAGACCACTTTCTACCCATTCGGGTGGTTATTGTCCAAAACAAACAGAAAATAACAAGTGCTGGTGAGATGTGGGAAAACCGCAACCCTTGTGCACTGGTGGTAGAGAAGTAAAATGGTGCCAGTTGCTGCAGAGAACAGGACAGGAGTCCCTCAAAAAGTAAACAGAATTACTATATTCCAGCACTTCTGGACATCCAAAGAAGTTAAAACAGGAACTCTAACAGATATATGTACACCTGTACTCACCGCAGCATTATTTATAATAACTAAAAGGTGGTCCAAGTGTCTATCAAAGGATTCATGCATAGACAATGTGTGATATATGCTGACAAGGGAATACTGTTCAGCCCTGAAAAAAAGAAGAAGGGAAATTTGATCCATGCTACAACATGGACAAACTTTGAAAATAATACACGAAGTGAAATAAGCCAGTCACAAAAGGGCAACTACTGTATGATTCCACCTATTCAAGGTACTTAGTCAAATTCATAGAGACAAGGTGGAATGGTGTTTACCAGGGCCCGGGAGGGGAGAAGGAGAAGTTACTGTTTCATAGGTGCAGAGTTTCCATTTTGAAAGATTAAAAGAGTTCTTTGGTTGTATGGGGTGACTAACCCAACAATGTGATTATAATTAATACCATGAAACTGTATACTTAACAATGGTTAGAATGGGAAATTTTATGTGATGAATTTTTTTTTACAATAAAAAGTCTTCTTTATCCTTAGAGACAGAGATCGAGAATATGCTAACTTTTCCTTATGCCATCAAGGAAGGAAAACAAAAACAAAAACAAAAAAACGGCCCTTAGTCTCTTTCATGCAGCAGGCACCCACTTACCTATACACAAAAGCAAAAATCAAGCCAAACAAATATGTTGTACTACTGATCCTTCTTTACAATGAATAAGGTTCATAAATTAATTAATGCCTCAAGTCAAGTAGTAGGAAGCAGAGATAGGAGCCAAAGCTGGGTCTGCGTGTCTTGGAAGCCTGTGTTCTTTTCACTCCCTGGTGTTCTTTTCTTCTACCCACAGTAGTCTTTTGTGAGCAGGCTTTCTGCTTTGACTACAGAGCTTTTAGACTTAAAAGTTGCGTCTGACTTTTGAAGTCTACTAAAAAAAGTCAGTCAAGCAAGCACACCCACTATATGCCCACCATATGAGGGCCAGGGCTGGCCAGGAAATAATGTAATCACGTTCCCATTCAGTGGCTGGTCATATGGTAGGGAGAAAAACACAGTTAAAATTGCAGTTGACTACTTCAAAATCCACTGAATACTCTGAGAAAAAAGCATTATGTCTTTCAATATTCCATATGGTCAGAGTAAGTGAAAACAGTCTCATTTTGTAACATAGGAGCATATTCATCTTTTCCTTAAACATTCTACTGTCACAGTTACTGATGTGTTATTACTAACGTTCTGCTTCAAGCTAGAATTTAACAATTAAGGAAACATTTTGTGCTGTACAGAAAATAGGCACCTCTTAGTTGTTTTCAGAAAGATAGCAGGGAGCCTTCTTGACTCTACTGCGCCTACTGGCCAAGGTTTTATTTCCTTACTCTTGCGTGAAACACACACAGAGGAGTAACACACATTTTCTATACCTTCCCAAACAAAGCAGGGTGTTGGCACTGTCTAGGGACTCCAGCCTGTGCACGGATCAGTACTGAAGCCCAACCTAGAGTCACAACAATCTACCTCATTTAATGCCATGCAGTTAGATTGCAGGCCTCTGTGACCGAGCCCAAGTGTCCTATCCAGGAAGATTATCTTTACATTCTCCACTCGAGGATGCAGAAGGAAATGGAACTCTGGCATCTGGAACGTGCCTTGTTTTGCCCATAGCTTTGAATAAATTCAGTGAATCCTTCAGCTGGGCTCTCTGGTTTCAGTACCAATCGTACTGTTTCTCTTAGGGATGGTGCAGGTTTACTTTAATGAAAATCCTCAGGAAAAAAAATAGACATTTTTTTGTATCAATATAAGCTTCCTGTTTCAGAGAATGGCACTCCACAATTTTTAGGAAGCCAGATCAATACCATAAAGATGGCACAACACAAAACAAAATGAAAACAACAACAACCACCAAAATCCCCCGACCCTACAGCCCTTTAGCAACGGACAATGGGGACCATCAGGAAGGAATATGCTTTCTCAAATGGTATATTTGGTCTTTTAAAACTTGTATTTTAAGAATTCATGAGCATCAACATATGGCATTTTATTGCTTTTACTCCACTATAAGCAGTATTCTTTCTTTCCTTTGTAAAATTATCTCCTTTCATTATTAAAATCCAAGAAAAATCCTTTTATCAATAACCATTATTTCTTAGCCACACTTTTTGTTGAAGATACAAAGCTTGATTTTTTAAAACCATGCTATGCAAGACTATTAAACTATTTCTCTATCCTGCCAAAGGAAACCTCACAATCTCAACTCTAATCCGTTAGACCTATTTATCGATCATTCATAAATATGAACAAGTCAGGACTCTCTTTAAGAGCATCCATTGCTCAGGAAATTAAAGAATAATAATTCTGGTTGGATTGTGCTTCTCCGGCCTTTCCACAGCATACACAGGTAAGGAAACTGTCCAGTTCACTTTTACATTTTGTCCCTGATGAAGTCAACATCCACTTTGACCTAGAGATGAATTCAATCCACAAAAGCATCACCTCCACGCTACATCAGTTACCCTCCCTGGACTGCCACGCTCCCTGGAACAAGGATGCAACTTTAGGCTAAGACCTACTGGCAAATGGTAGCTGTGTCTGAGGTTTCCCTGAAGACCACCACACAGAGCTGACGGAGGAAGACATCGTTTTTTTCAAGGGAAAACACTGTCGCTCAGGTACGCAATTCCAGTCTTTGTTAAAATAAAACAAAACATCTCAGGACAAAAGGATTTAACCCCCCCCCCAGCCAAATCACAGCCATTATGTTGCAAAGCAGAAGGCACCGGTGTGGTAGGAAAGAAAGAGGGAATGTGCTTAGCATTTTCCACCGCTTACACCCCTCAGCTACAGGGCTGCAACGCTCGCTCTGAGGATCAGACCCCAGCTTTTCGGCTGCAGCTGGTCTCAACTCAGCCCTGCTTTTCTTCTTCCCGCAGAGCTAGGCAAACGCTTCTCACATTCAGCCTGTTTTCCTGGTAAGTCACCAAGGCTAGGCACGGAGGAGGATTTTTGTTTTAAGAACATGTGTCACAAATTTAACCATCGATCTCCAAAGCCCTTCTAAAAGCCCCTATTCAACCCCCGCCCCCATCCTGAAGCAATGCACCCAGCTTCCCATAGAAATCTGCCCTAAAATAAAAAGAACCCACAGGCACTGGTCAATTTTTTCCCCTCTCTCTTTCTCTCTTCCTCTGTTAGAAAGGAGCAGCGTGGAAAACGCGTCCTTTACCTTGGATCCGGGGCTTGGTCAGAAGAGAGCGGCTTCCCCTCGCAGAGCTGCTCTGCCTTGCAGCGAGCTCCAGCCCAGCCCAGCCCCGCGCAGCCGGCCCAGCCCAGCAGTAGTAGGAGTCGCCCACAGAGCGGGCGGCGGCAACGCGTGTGTATGTGTAGCGCGGCTGCAGCCCAGGGACTAGTCCCCACCCAGCTTTGTCTTCAATCATAGTTCTTGCCACAGGAAGCAGCGCATCTCCCACTTCCTCCTCTTCTCCGTAGCTGCTAGCAGCTTTCTTCGTTTTCCTCTCTTTGCATGTCAGGGGTTACTCTAGTGCTTTTGCCTGCTCCGGCGCTACTGAGGGTAATCTGGCCGTCATCCTCTCGACCCCTTTGTTGCAGGTCCTGGAGCTGCCTGCCTCTACCGTCCTTCCTCTTCTCATTCCTGCACCCTCCCTGACACCCGTGCTACCTTCTGAGGCTGAACTTGGTTGCTTTTTGTTCTAGCTCCTGCTTCTGCTATCCTTTGTATTGGGTCCCTGGCCAGGCTCTGGCCCTGAGAGCCAATGCCAGCCTCAACTGCACCCTCTGATTTACGGCTCCTGCCTCCCTAGCTAGGAGCTTGAGGTTGGCAGCTTCTTGCTGCAGGGTTTTCCTCTGTGGCCAACAATCCAGTAGCTTCCTTTCTCCAAGGTCCTTCTACCGCTCAGCTTTTACTTAACCCACTTGCTCAGAAAAAGGCAGCCCCGGAAAGCACTTTTGTGGGTCGTAGGAACCAAACTGAGTCCTGCAATGCGGGACACAATGCCAGCAGATTTGCTGGGATGGAAGGAAGGAGGGAGGTGATGCTGAAGGCTGTGGATTCCCAGCCCAGAAATAGGACTCCTTCCCACTTCCAGGGAGGGCCCAGAGGACCCTGATGGCCCTCCAGTCCCTTCCTTTATTCTAGAATGCAGCATCACCATGGACAAGGGCAGAGCTAGCAGGCAGTCTGCCTGCCAGAGTGGGAATCCAAGCTGGCGTTCCTGACTTTATCAACTTGGGTGCATTGTTTAACTTGCACATGCCTCAGCTTCCTCACCAGCAAAGTGGAAATGATGAGGGTCATACCCCACAGCAGAACCCTGAGGATTAAGAATGGACAGAGAAGCCGGGCATGGTGGCGCATGCCTGTAATCCCAGCACTTGAGAGGCTGAGGCAGGAGGATCGCTGTGAGTTCAAGACCAGCCTGGGCTACATAGTGAGTTCCAGGTCAGTCTCAACTACATAGTGAGACCCTGTCTCAAAAACAAAACAAAACAAACAAACAAGCAAAAAAACAGAAAAAAAAAAGAAGACTGGACAGAAATGCTAAGAATAGTTCTAGGAACATAGGAAGTAACCAACACATTCTAGCTCTTACTATTTTTAGAAGAGGTTGAAACTCAGAGGTGGCAAGTGCCTTGTGCTGTCAGTGGTCAAACCAGGATCAGTGGTTGGTTTTTCAATTCCCCATGGTTAATATATCCACGATTTAGCCCTGGGCCTCTGCGTAGTTATTCAACTTGTGAGTCATTTCCTCTAATACTAACAAGGTGCTTTGGGGAAGCTAAGATTAAAAGAAGGGAGGGGGGCAAGGGAATCCTTATTCTACGGACCAGACAACGCTGTGGGGTTAAGAACCCCTTGGAATCAGTGCCTGGAAAGCTGACCTTCCCCAGCAGTGGAGTCCACTCCCAAGTCCACTCCCAGGGTCCAGTCCTTCCTTGACCCTCCAGCAAGTAAACTGACAGGAAATGTGAGAGATCTATCCTGCTGGTGCAGGATAACTCACCCAGTGAGCCTTCCTAGCACACATTCTCTGGCAGGTACAGGAATTAATTTCAACAAAATGTTCTGAGACAGTCCTGGGATGAGCTTTGTTTTGATGGAATGTTCCACAAACAGAGTTGGCTTATTTTTCCCTAGAAATCTTTTGTCAGAAAGGACCTGATGCTGTCTCACTAATATCTGAAAATTGCAAAATGGATTATTTCAAGATGAAAACCAAGGAGCTACTTTCGAATGGCCAGCAAGTAGAATTATAGCATTAGAGGGAGATTTGGCAGAGATCCAACATAATGTGAGTTATCACCCAATTATGAATCCCGGTGCCAAAGGTTACATGTAAATTTAAATATACATGATGCCAAGTGCAAGAAAAAGGAGAAGCATGTTATTCATGGTTGGAAAGACTATGGAAACTGGAAACAAGTTTTGGTTAATTTTAGACTGATGGATTCTGGCATTAACTCTGGATTCAAATAGATTTTTTTTAATAGCTCTCATACTTTCACTCTCACAGAAAGTGGTTGGTACTTATCTTTAAACCTATACAGGAAAACCTCTTTCAAGCAATAAAATCACTAGGAATTTGGCCTGCTCTCTTCTAATCTGTTTTTCCATCTCTGGCCATAAAACTCACAGTAGGTTTATCTGGCCTTTCCTGGGAAGTGCCAACCAAACTCTCCTCTAAGTTAAAAAAAACGAGGCTTTAAGATTTCTCTCTTCCTGTCATTAACCTCTGCTTTCAATTCCTCCTAACAGCCTCTTTTTCAGGAGAGGAAAGTAAAGAGTAGAGATGTAGATTGGCCAAGAGAGAAGATTAATCCAATTTATAGCTCTTGATACACATGTGGTAAGTACTAAGGCTGAAAATGTTCATGTTTTAGGAAAATGATAGAATTTCATCTCACCATTATAAGTTCACACCATCAGTTATTAGACGTGGCCCTCTCCTACATGCATTAGATCAATGTCGAGACAAAAGCCTGTCAAATACTTTAGCATTCATCAAGGACCCTATTTGCACTCACTGATACCTTGTATTTCTTACTTCTACTTGGTAGAAGGTTGACAATAACAAAGAAGACATAATTTTGACCTGGTGTCTGACCTGGGTTATCAGGGCATTCAACCTGGATGTTCCTTGGAGTTCTAATGTTTTATAATCCCCAAATTATATACATTTACCTTTATCCAAAGCCCAGTCCTCCTTCTATAGTTTCCATTGTAAATAAAATTAAGTAATGAAACATAGAAATTCGTTGCCCACAGTAGTAATAAAGTAATTGCAGACCATTTTCCGAATCTGGAAATCTCTGTTTTCCAAACTGACTTGTGAAGTTCTTCATCCTTTCATTGCCCCCTTCCAAATCATATCTTTGCCTGAACGTCTCCTCGCTCTTTCCCTTGACACTGTCTTATTTCCTGAATGATTTGGATTTTCTTGAAACAAGGCAACACTCCCCATCTGGTCCTCCTACCTCTGGTCTCTCTCGAAGCCACTGCCACCAGAAGTACATTTTTGAAAGAAGGGTTGATCCTAGCCCTGCTCTGCTGGAACCCTTTGCTTTCTCCCCACCCCACGGCCTATGGTGTCCAAAGCTTTCTGTGACGCTACCCATCTGCACTCCAGCCCCATGGCTGTTGTCACTCCAGCCTTACAGAAGTTTCTCAAGAAACTCTGTTCTTTTCTCCTCTGCCAGTTGATGTGTGCTTTTGCCGAATGTGCCCTTGTTCCCTCCTCCATTGTGTCTGCTGCTAAATTCCACTTTTCTGCAAGACAGCATTTCTGTTGTTTCTCCCCTTGTGAGCACATCGTAACCTGCCTCTGTCTCCCCTTAAGTGACAATTGTTCTAATGATTTGCTCTGTGTCCATCTTAGCTGTTAGCAATTGGGCTTCGAAGATTAAGGCCATGTTCCACTCATCTTTGCTTGTGTTTGCTTAACAAGTGTAGTGGGTAGATCATAAACATTTGAAAGAAATTTCAAAAGTTCAAAATTGCTTTTGTATTCCTCTGGGGGAAAAAGGAAGTCTAAAATGAGAAGTTGGTGATGGAGTAAGAAACATATTCCCTATATTTCCTTTTTTTATGTATGCATGAAGTTTATGGGTACATTTTAGGTATATGATCTGCTGACGGTCATCACTGGGAATTGTACCTGTACACGATAGATCTTGGTTCATATTTTTTTCCCATTCCCCTTCCCTCCCTTCAACTCCTCTACCCCTTCCTCTTTGCAAAGACTTTATTTCTGTTTTTTCCTTTTCTCACATTTATTCCTTCCCCTTCTTTCCTGTCCTCTACTCCTCCCACTTCCCCTTCCCCTTTGGACCTTTTCTTCCTATTTCACATTATCCATGATACATTAATGCTTATTTATACTTTCAGTTTCTCACACTAGAGAAACTATTCAGTATTTACATGTGTGTGTCCTATTTATTTCACTTAAGAGCATGGCCTCAATGTGCATCTGTTTAGCTATAAATGTCTCTAGTTTCTCACTTTTTAAGGTTGAGTAGTACTCCATTTTATTTTTAAAAATCACATTTTCTTTATCCAGTCTACAGTTGATGGGCAGTTGGGCTGTTTCCAAGTTTTAGCTATTACAAACTGAGCCTCTATAAACATGGGTGCACATATATCACTGTGGTATGATTCTTTTAATTCTTTTGAGGAGATACACAGCAAAGGGATAGCTGGGTCAAATGGGACCTCTAATCCTAGTTTTTTGAGGTATCTCCATACTAATTTCCCCAGTGGTTGCACCAGTCTACACTCCCACTAACAGTGGAGTAGAGTTCCTTTTTTCCCATAACCCTGCCAGCATTTGTTATTGGTTGTTTTTTCAGTACCAGGGATCAAACTCAGGACCTAGTGCTTGTTAGGCAGGTGCAGTGCCACTGAGTTAAATCCCCAGCCCTGGTTGATTTCTTGATAGCAGCCATTCTTTCTGGAGTGAGGTGTTACACCTCTTAAATCAGTTTACCTCTCTCAAAAGACCAAGGGATGTTAAACATTTTTTTGTATGTTTATTTGTTGTTTCTTCTTCTTTGTCTGAGAAATGTCTGTCCATTTCAGATACCCATTTTTGGATTAGGATTTTTAATTTGGGAGGTCTGATTTTTTTAAGTTCTTTATATATTCTGGTTTTTCAGCTGCCTGCCTGCCTGCCTGTCTGCGATCACCCGGCAGCGTGCGCGCGAGCTCCCGGCCTGCGCGGGAGCCCCC